CCAGGAGCCCCTAATAGCTTCTTGTTACTAGTAGTAAGGCCAGGAGCTCCTAGTAGCGTCCTTGCTCCTAGTAGCGATGCCAGCAGCCCCTAGTAGCTTCTTGTTACTAGTAGTGAGGCCAGGAGGCCCTAGTAGCGTCCCCTTCTGCGCTTTGTTGTTTGAAGTCTGCATTCATTTGTCGGGTATATTACGGAAGATTGGATCAGAGGCATGAGACTTTGACAAAAGGTCAACAATGTCTGGAGAGGAACAACTTTTTGCAAGCAAGTTGCGGCAGGTTGTACTGAGCCTCAGTCAAGCGATGTCAAGCCTACTTACTACTTGCTCTTATATTCTCTCATTATCTGGTCGAGTCCAACAATACGAGCGGGTCCAAAGACAGGAAGATTGCTTGATCTGGAAAAAGTTATCCTCGGTATTTGACCTCTCCATCCGAACGCCAAGGAGCAATCCAAGTCCCACCACGCTCAGTACGGCGTCGATCCAAGTAGCGCGTGACCGGGTTGGTGTTTTCCTGCAAAGAAACTCTGCGCACATTCTGAACCAACAGCGGCAATATAGATTACAGGTTATGTAATAGTATTTGCTATCAAATCCCGCACGGAGAAACAATTCAGAGGTTTCTTTTCTGGCAAGCAACAGGTAGAATATGGTAGAAACTACACAAGACGCAAAGGAAACCAATATAGTAGTCCAGAAGCCAAAGCACGCCTGACGTTCACGTTCACGATTTGCCTGCATCCACTCAATAGTGTATCGTTTGGGCCTGGCCACTTCAGCACAAAGGTGGCTTGCAATCAGATAGTACTCTCAGCAATCCCAGCGGCTGTATTGGACAACAAACATTCTTGGCGGCTTTCAATCAAAAGAATCAGCTTCAGTTGTATAACAATACAGGATCATTTACAGTATTCATTTGCACTACACTGCCGATGGCCTGATTCCAATACTGCCTGCGTTCTGGAAGATCATCTGAGTGCCGCGAGCAGTTCTCTCATGCAATTCATTGGCCAAACATGTTTTCATTTCATCGAACTCTTTGCTCCCTCAATGCCCTGCAAATCCACCCTCTTCGTTGATTAATCAACGACTACTGCATTTAGCAAAGTCAGGGTCTGGTGATCGGTTAGCAGAACTCGACTGCTTGCATCCTCTGAGCAACTTGTCCATACATTCCAGTGTTGCAGGAAACTGGAACACTATGCACCACAAGAGGGAAGATGCCATATGTGTTTGGTTTCTTTTAGTTTCCCTAAACATCTAGGAAGCAAATCATTAGTGCGAGCGGTTTTTTGAAGAAAGCTCCCCCCCGCCCTCGCGTGGGGGGAGCTTCCTTGAAGAAGCGTGAGCTATCCTGCGTCCTAGCTAAGAGCTTCCCATTGCTAGTAGCAATAAGATATTACTTAATTAAGCAGGCGCCTACTTAACTTCTTTGAGTAAGGAGGCAAGGGGCCCCCACGGGCTTTAAGCAAACAACTTCTCAAAAAGAGATGCGCAGCACCGGAGTGATCTGAAGCTGAGGAGGCGGCCATAAAGACCTTCGGTGCAAGGTGCTGAATATTTGGTGTCAAAGCTTGTTATATACACTGCCTGAAACAAACGCCTGAATGAACATGCCACAAATCATGATAGTCTCTCTCTCTCTCTGTCTATATATATATAGTCTATGAAAACTTGAGTTGCTTGCACCTCTTGCAGACTATCACAGGTTCATCCTTGCTTTACACTGACCTTCAATTCAGCGCCAGCCGATCAGCTACCTGCCTCGTACAAGTACTTTCATGATGGCATATCTTCCATGTTTCATCCCATTCCAGAAAAAGCAACATACTTGAACACGAGGTCTTGCTTTGGGCCTTCCCACTTGTAAGCCAAGACACAATAGCCAGTGTGATCATGATTGGTGACACGACCCAGACCCTTGGAGTGCATGACTCTCTGTGCGCATCTGTCTGTTTTCTACAGTCACTAATGTATCCAAATGTTCTAAAAATCCCAAACATGTTGGAGGCTGGTCAGTCTGAGGCACGGGAAGCTCTGCAACCATGCCCAGTAGGGGGGATAGTCCTCATTGGTAAGATCCGCTGCATGGAGCGAATTCCAGTCGCGCTCAAGGCTCATGGCAAACATCGACTGCGATTGCTACTAGTAGCAATGGCCCCTCACCCTAGTAGCGATGGCCTCCAACCTACTAGCCATGGCCTCCAACCTAGGAGTGTACCGTCCAAATCCTTCCTGATTCAAAGAGTTTTGTGCACCAATCACAATCTTTCAATTTGAACGAATGCATTTCAGCAACTTGAAATGGTGTTGCCGTGAGATGACTTTCTTCAAGCCATGGACTTTATGAAATCTCCGCGAGTTATCTTCAAAAGGAGCAAACCTCAGTCTGAGATAATCAGATAGTCCTGGGCAAACTCTCCATAGTAGACGGTGTGGAAGCTTGGTGAGGCGGCCAGCATGTGTCGTGTGCGTGGGTGCGTTGCAACACATGACAAACATTGCCTGAACACAGCTGCCTTTGAGATTTGGATCAACATACTGATTCAATTGTGCTGTGGTCAACAACTTGACAAAGTTCAACATTATAACCACTTTCTGGCACGAAAAGTCACTTTGATGCCACCCACAGCGTCATGTCAACATTAGGAAAGTGGCATGCATTCACAACCTTGTGACTTTATGTAATCAGGACTTTAATATCAAACAGAACCATCTGTTGAACCAAGGGCAGTACATTCCTGCTGGCATCAAGGTCCAATGCTCCCAATCCTGAAAACGCGGGAGCATAGCGGGCGCTGAATATAATACTGTAATGTTTGCAGTGAAACCATTGAGTGATTTGAGGGCGCCACATAGCCATGGTCCCAAACTGGTTGATGCAAAGGGTACCTGGTCAGTGCACAACCGACTTCGGTCCGAACACATGGATGTTGCACAAACCGCACCCGTCCTGTCTGAGCAGAACAACCCACCGCAAGTTGGTTATTCAGTATTCAGCTTATACAACTAATATACAGTAAAGGTAATGTTCACCCCTTTTTCACTACAGCAACACTTTTCTGTCAATTTCAAGAATAACATTCCCAAATCTATTGCTTTGTGTTGCTGTCATATTCTGCAATTGTCACTCCAATACAGTATGTCAATGCATCGTCCAACTACCTTTTGGTGGGCTTGGGCTGCCTTCCATAGTATAAAGTAAATTCTAACCAAATGTGTAGGTATTGATAAACATGTACTGTATATATAAATACATACACAATATTATACAATGTATTGCTTCAAGGCGGCACAACAGTACACTGATAAAGTAATATGAACTGCCAGTTGAATCACAGAACTTGATAACGAATCACCAAGGAGTGAACATCTAATGTCCGGAAGTCCGGGGCACTTCTTTGGAGTGCCATCTGGCTCAAACTCAGGAGGAGGTGGTGGCGGCATGTGCAGGAACCTAAGCCGTTGAGCTGCCCAGCGCGGCTCCTATATTTCAATTCTCCGAAAAGTGATTCAAAGTTCAGGGGCCGGGTTAGAGCTATAAAATACAGATCGTCCAGGGTCAGAGTTTCTTTTTGGGCACCCTGCTGAATCAAAGAACAACACCCCTTGCCTCAACAAATCTGGGCTAGCTAACGGGGGCATACCTCCAAGACGAACAGAGGAGCTCGAAACCTCAGGAAACCAGCAGGATTCTCCGCATCAGGAACTTTGTCGTGTTTGATGTACATAATGATTCAATGACTTCGCAAGTTCCAAATATCAACAATACATTCACAATCGGTGTGCCTATCTCATGTCACGTGTAGAAAGTAGTTGCACGAATCATTGGATAAAGTCTGACAAACTTGCGGCAAAATCAATTATTAAAGCGGTTACTGAGCTGGTTTCTTGTCTATGTGACTCTATGTGTGACATAACAATAATATATATATATATGTATATTACATTATATTACTATTACGGTATATAAAATACATAAAGAATGATCTGACAGCAACCTGAGATTGTAGCTCCTCGCACACCCAAAGCTGTGCGGCATCGTGCTGCTCGTAGAAGCAGTGCCATGATGGAGAACCTGTAGCTCTGCTTTGTTGACAGTTGTTCTTGCAAGTTGGCGTGAAAACGTGTAACTCACGATCATCTGCGCACATAAGATACGCATCACCAAGCAAGATTGCCAAATGAAAAGTCCCCTGCTATAATATCTGGATTTTGACCACAGTCTCCTGGCAGCTTCCGTCTTATCTCCTGGTTTCCCCACGAATCTCCAGGCAAGGCAAGTGGACAGCTCGGCGCACAGCTGTGAGCCCAAAGAAAACCCAGCAATGACAACCGTCTGAGCCCCGATTCAACAAACCCTACACGACCTGTGGCCCCACAACTCCATGCACTGTGAATGAGAGCTTGGGAGGAGGAGTCAGGTTGCTCCCAGAGATTATTGCCTGGTGTTGCCTGGTAGGTTAAGGCATCTGAGGCCCACGCGGCGTTTGGATGGCATCCGGTAGTCCAAGCACCTGGCATCTGAGTCCAATGAACATCCAAACATCTGTCGAGTTGTGGCAATATCGATGTATTCCATGATCTTCGAAACACCCTGCCCTTTTTTGCAATTTAATGCAGCAACCTCAGCTCAGAGGAAATCTTTGGCTGCGTGCAGCCTCTTCGGCGGTGCACAGTCTCGTCCAACGGCGGTCGTCTTCAGTCTCAACGGCAGTCGTCGGGAGACCAAACACCCCAACGAAAGGGGTATCGAGGGCATCGAGCTCAGAACGGGCATGTGGGACAGCATACCCACTTGATATGGCTGCATGGCTGGGCCATGGAAGGCATCCAGTCGCTGTGGAGGTACATCCATAATGACCTCGTAGTTCTGCCCAATGGGTCCATCAGATGGTAAATGGATCTCTGGAGCAGGTGGCGCAGGTGTTTCCCGAGTATCTTCAGGTATCTCTGACGTAGGCCCCAAAAAGTCCTTTATCCCAAGGAAGCTCTCTGCAAGCTTCAGGGCTGCCGTATTCAGCACCATGGCTTCGCTCCAAGGGCCGGCAAGGATTCCATCGTGTCACTGTGGAAGTAGGCCAATTCTTACGGCTGCTGTGTCTTGACCAGTAAAAAGAAAAAATAAACAACAGGTTCAACAGGAGGAAGAAAACAACAGCTGATTATGTGAGTGACTGCGATCAAACTTGATCATCACTTTCTTGCTTTCTGCAATCTGAGCAATGACTGCAAGAAACTGAACTCTTGAACTCGGTAGATATCACTGCACGAAAGAGTTCACCAACGAAACGCTTGGCTCTCTTTGGCTCACGAGGTCTTGGGCAACTCAACTTGGACCCACGAACATCCATCGGCAAACCTTGGTCCATCGGCAGTCTTGTCTTCCTGCGTCTCTGGGTGGGTCGTACCCATTCCGGAAAAGGCTCAGGGCATTGAAGTGCCACAACAAAGGCCTGCACCAGCAGCAAACTTCGAGGCGTGTTGTCGGCGCACAACTACCATGAAAGCCATGTAGATTCATCTATATAGTCTGGTTGCAGGGATTCCAAGAAATCACAAGACCTAGCTCCTACTGTCCTTGATTCTAGATTGGAGAATCAAGCTGAAACAGATTGAAACACTTATGCAGGCCTGTGCAAAGTGAAGGCAGTTGCGCTTCACTGGGTGGTACCTGCACTCGTCAAATCAACGCGACGGCTGTCAATCTGGAATGACCAGCGGAATGTCTCAATTTCATAGTTTTTCCACCCTTCTAACCATCTCAAGACTCTCATAGCCTCAAACCGCCATACTTCATCCTGGTAGCACTTGCTGATGCTCAGTAAGTAGATGTATATAATTAAGTAGTAAGTAGTAATCTTTTGATAGCGATATTCAAGGATAGCAATAGAATGCAATAGACACTTAGGGCAAGTAGAGTTGATTTTGTTCTTCCATCAAGTCCTGCTCCTGGTGTCCAGCTCACGAGTTGGCTGGCCACTGGTCAACCATTTCACCAAGCACCTGAAGCGAACCAACGGCGGTTGAAACATTCTGTGCGAAATTCAGCGGGCCAACGACGTTGAGCACATTCTTAGCCGCTAAAAGCAGTGAAGTCCAAGGGCTAAGTCCTTTCGGTCGGAGGGGACAGTGAGCTGAACCAAGTTCACCATGAACTTTCGGACGCCAATTTCAGAAGGATTTGTCAACTCCCGAATTCGACGTTGACTCCTAAGACTCCATAACACAATTCGACGTCAACTCCTAAGGAATAAATATATATCCTAGTCCTAAATCCTAAATGAAGCCAAACATTCTTTTCCAGAAACATCCTTCAGGAATCCTTCCCTATCTCCTTTCACAGAATGCTGATCCTCCACAATACTTGTCCAATTTGAAGCCATTTTTTGGAACTGTTTGAATGAGGACTCCCCGGTTCATTGATCAGAGGTGGACAGCGGCAAAAACAGTCAAAAGGAAAAGCCGAGAAACCCCTGCAAGAACTCTTGCGCTGAATGACATGTCAACCTTGTGTTCTTTGAAGCACGTCGAATCGGTCTTCGCGAATCTTCGGGTTGATTCCTCTTCAGGCCTCGATCACATCTGAGGCTACTGGCACTGCGGATCTGACTTTCGTTGAGCTTGGAAAAGCCCAGATCAACAGATTCAGTGTAGATGTGCACCTGAAAGAGGATGATCCATCTCTCGCATTTCTCCGGCTTGTGCAAAGGAACACATGCGGGAAGGCCAAAGCACTTTCATGTTTATGGCAAAGTTAACTTGCAGTGTGAAACGATCTTCATGCACAGCTATTCTATGTGACGAACATGCCAAAGCCGTGCCCCTGTTCTATTCTTCAGGCCTGATGGGCTTGTGGTCTCATCCAAACCACCCCAGAATCTGGCAAGGACACGAAACTTGAGAGGTCGAAACAAGCTTGGAAGCGGTGGATTAGGAATTTTTAAATGCTTCATTGACACTTATCAATCTTACCGTTTATATTTTGCTGCTGTAGGAAAAAATTGCACTCATGAGTTGCTCGCTTGTTTGCAAACAACAACGACAACAACCACAAAGCTCAATCGTTGAAGGCGTCCGAGGCCCGTTTCTCCCAGCGCCTGGAGTGTCGGCCCAACGGAAGTACCACTCGTCACCCAAAACCTGCATCGATATGAAGTGGTGGCTTCAAATTGCCGAGTTCAGAAGTACGAACTGTAGACTCAAACTATCTCAAACTACAGGAGCTTTCACCATTGCAGTGCAGTCTAGTAAAGAATAGTAAAACACACATTTCGCACATGCATGATAGATTGACGCGCATTGTCGCATCTTTTTTAGGATTTACTCAGTCATCGTGTTTCATCGTACGATCTTGGTTGATCAAAGCAACGCCTGGCAGTTTTTCAAACACTCGCAGCGGCTCGCGTGTGCCTCTACACCAACATGGAACGCACCCAAACCCATCTGCCGCAAGAGGGTCTGATTGAGTCGTGCCTTGGCATTCAAAGCAGCAAGAAAACTGTTGGGCAGGTCAAAAAGGGAAGAAACTAATCTTTGCCTACTGTAGTGATTATTGAGTTAACTTGAAACTGCAAAAACATCGAACAAAACACCGAATAAATAGGGGCCAGCATGCTCCCCCTGCTCAGCTCTCTGATGCGTTGACCAACTCTTCAACTTTCCTGCCTGCCTGCCTAACTTTTGGAGTTAACATGACGCTTTCATGACTGGTTTCTGCCCAGAAAGCCCCTCACCATCACAGTGTCGAGATCATAGATGTGAAGCCAAATCCTGTGGTATTTCCGCCGTCGACCTAAGGAGCAGTCGCTTCAGAGGGACTCGGACTAATAGTTATGGTTGGTTGGTTGGCTGGCTGGCTATATAATTGGTTGGTTGGTTCCCTAGTTTCTTGCCATAAATTTGGTAGTGGTAAGCATACAGTCAAGCAAGGAAATTCCACTTGCTTCAAACAAGCGACGCGCAGCCTCTTCTAGTGTCCTGTTGTAGTTATTGAGTAACACACGTTGAGTATTTATGAATCTTTCAATACGACAGTTCAGACATGAAATTAACAATCTCAATGCAAAGAGCTCAGCGCCTGGCCCGAGTTCGGTGTTCTACCTTGCACATTATGTCACATAAGATTGACCTCAATTCAAAATAGATTGCATCCACTTTGGGCCTCAAACGCCTGCATCCTGCAGTATTTCGCAATGTTGTGATTCCACGTGATTCCTGCAAGCTCTCCACCTGCCTGAGTTCTCCCTCGAGACGCATGCGTCTTGTGTTTCCGATGGATCCTCAGAGTCCAACATGTCAGCACGGCATGGTCTGTGACATAGTGCGGACAGTGACCTTTGACTATTACTTATATAATGTATCTTGATGCTAACTGCTAATTGATTCGTGACCAAGTAGAACGACAATACCTTCTGAAATATCATGTCCACTCAAGGAACAGCTGCTTGTTGGCATCTTCACGTTGACAACTTCGTGGCACTTAGTGCTCAGGATCGCAAAAGCACTTTTAACTCAAATTGCAATATCATCAAGCTGGCCACCGGGTCTGCCAATGTCTTTGCAAGACGCGCGCAGCGTCAAAACAGCAGATGCAAGATCGTGGAAGTCAGATCGATCCAGGTAGATTTGTGAGGACACCCTGATCCAGTGAGTAAGATCCTCAATGACTCGAATCGCAACGGCGTATCTTGCAGTTTCAAATCCTATACACCAGTACCAAATCTAAAGTAACACATTACATGATGGCAAAATATGTCAAGCATCCGTGGAGCTGTTCGTGTGCAAACCAAAGGAGATCACCAGCATGGAATAGTTTTGGATAAGCCCTTCAGCGATGAAACCTGCGCAGGCCTCGCTCTGTGTAGCTGCTATGGGCAGTCGAACTGCAAACATGGATGGAGTCATAGACCTCAGCTGCAACATGACCCATGCACCGTGGTCTTCGTTTTGCTTCCTGACTAGTAGTGTGAAGTCCTCAAAAAGCACCAGCTTAATACCAGTACAATCCGATGCAAGTGTATACCAACTGGATCCGTCAAAGAAATCTCCGATTCGATGAATTTGGAGCAAATCGACACTGGCACCACGGTCTCAGTACCAAAGGCCTCTGCCATCATCTGCCCTGCCCACTTGGCCAGCTCGGAGGTATACCTTTGCAGTCGGACCTCTCCACCCAACATCCGCCGGAAGTCCAAGGCCGCTCCCATCGCACACCAAGAGCTATAGTCCCGTGTGCCAATGTAGTCGAAGCGCTTTTGAAAGGTCGTCTCAGGAGAATTATCGGAGGAAATGATGGCTGGTTCCTTGGAAGGAAATGGACCACATAGAAGCTTTACGCTCGTGAAATGCGTTAAAACTTGAAATGCGTCCTGTTGCAAAACTCCAAAGCATGCTGCCAACCAGGGATCAAGGATATCTTGAACCGATCTCGATGCCCAAAGTGCACCACTCCCTTTCGGAGCCATCAGCCATTTGTGCCCATCTGTCACCTTGGAGCCAAGGATGGACAGCTATCGCAAACATAACGAGCTCCTGGAGACCCAGCTTCTTGTTCCTAGTAGCGACCCTAATAGCTTCTTGCTACCTAGTAGAGATGGCCTCCAACCTACTTGCGATGGGCTCCAACCTACTAGCTTCTTGTTCCTAGTAGCGATGGCCCCCACCCTAACAGCTTCTTGCTACTAGTAGCGATGGCCTCCAACCTAGTAGTTTCTCGTTCCTAGTAGCGATGGCCTCCACCCTAATAGCTTCTGGCTACCTAGTAGCAATGGCCTCCAACATACTTGCGATGCCTCCAACCTAGTAGCCTCTTGTTCCTAGTAGCGAAGGCCTCCTCCCTAATAGCTTCTTGCTACTAGTAGCGATGGCCTCCAACCTAGTAGCTTCTTGTTCCTAGTAGCGATGGCCTTCAACCTACTTGCGATGGCCTCCAACCTAGTAGCTTCTTGTTCCTAGTAGCGATGACCTCCAACATACTTGCGATGGCCTCCAACCTAATAGCATCCTTGCTACTAGGTAAGCAGCTTCTTGTTCTAGATTCAAGAGCTTCCACATTTGTCTGTGGATCAACAACGTATATCAGGGTTGCCTCGAGGGCAATCCAATCAGGTCCAAGGGTGATGATAGTGATGTAAAGTACAATGACAATCTCACGGACACTTCTATAACCTTGGTCTGGGACTTTGATGGTCCTTGATGTAACAGCCTATTCAAATGGCAACACTTGGGAGATGTTCAAACCTGAATCCAGATTGGGGGCGTGGCCCTGGCTACCCGGCCAATTCTTCCTCCTAGACACGTAGGCATCCACACCAGCTTGCTCCAGCTGCCCCAGTTCGATGGGCACTTGCCCCAACGCGTGGGCGCCATCCAGCAGCACGAGCGCATCTGGGAACCAGGCCTGGCAGCGCATCTGAATCGGCTGTAGTAAGCAATTTATGTACAGCAAGTTGGAGTTTCAAAGGTCATATTGTTGGAACCTATAGAATTCAACATGTCTGGATAACGTATTACCAAGCCTGAACAAGCCTGGGCCTGGGCTATGATAAGAAGAGCGGAGCGGAAACATGCCAATTGAGAGGAGAGGATAATATAACAAAGGATGGTGATGATGACTATATATATATAGTTATTTGTAAAAATTGCATGGTCAACAAACATCGCCTCCTCTGGATCCTCAAAGAGCAAGTTCTATTGACAAAGCTTCTACTGACGACCTCAGCTGGGTGCCTTCACCATCTTGGCCAAGCGAGAGACCGGCAGGATGGCAGGTGGGTAGGAGGAGACCTTAGGCAAAAGTCACCTTGGATCAAATGATCCAAGATGGTTCAAGTCTCATTTCCTACTCAGAGCCACTCAGCCACTCTGAAACATCTCTGAAAACTTTGTGGTCTTGCCACTCGCAAAGCATCAACTGAGAATCAAATGGCTACTATGAGAGCAATTTGCAAGAGTGATGAAGAAACATAGCGACTGTTTTGGTCACAGCCAAGGCATAGGCCCTTTGAACTGCAAAGTCTTGTCATCCTGACCCTGTTTCATTCCGTTCAACCAAGTCGGGACTGCTGCTCTGAGATGCTCTGTTTGCAAATATTGCTTAAAGTATGCTTTTGGAAGACGGTGGAGAGTGGCTTCAATGGCTTCAAGAAGAAAATAACACAAACATAAACAAACGCATGGCGGGCTGCATGATCAAAGACTGCCAAGCGTAGCCGGCATGGACGAGGCAGCTGCCGTAGAGTTTGCTCCAGTGGATCTAGAAAGGACTCTGGCCCGCTGGCTGGAAAAGACCTGATGGAAGCGGTTGAACATGATTGAACCAGTCAAACATAGTTTTCCCTATCTCTCTGCCCCTATCTTTGTGCCTCTATGAGAGCTTCTGTATGGAAAGCACAAATGTTTTTGTCTCAAGGAGCTGCAATTGACACGCGTGCAAACTTCAACAAAAAAGTGCAAGGTACTGATTGTTTGACATGATAAAGACACAGACTCTTCATGGCAAACCAAGCAGAACCCTGACCGCCTTCCATGTTGCAAGAAACATACTTAAGGTTTAAGGTGCTTAGCAGCTACGGTACATAGGTAAGAATCGGATGGAACTTGAAGTAGTTGAATTCCATCCAGGACACACTTCCACTTGAACTATCTGGATGTTGTAGCGCCTTTTCAGCCATGCTCCAGTGTTAGGTAAGACGGCGTAAGCAGCCGTTGTCAGCAGCAGTACGTCCCTTGGCTGCCATGGAAGGCTGCGTAATACTGCATTTAAGCCGGAAGATGCATCATCCAGAAAGACCTCAAAAGCACATCATTTGTTGATGGTCCAAGGGAACCCTGAGGCCGACTACAACCAGCTGAGTGTGGGAAGTCGTCTCTAACCAGCTGTTAAACAAGAAACAGGTGCCATATGGTGCCATGGCCTGGCGAAACAAACCTACTACTGTAGCGATGGCCTCCAACCTAGAAGCGATGGCCCAACCTAGAAGCGATGGCTCCAACCTATAAGCGATGGCCTCCAACCTGACCTAACAGCGATGGCCTCCAACCTAGTAGCGATGGCCTTCAACCTAGAAGCGATGGCCTCGAACCTAGAAGCGATGGCTCCAACCTAGAAGCGATGGCCTCCAACCGAATAGCGATGGCCTCCAACCTATTGCGCTTTGGTGTGGCTAGATTCCTGAAAAACCATGTAGTTACAGCCCTGGAACAACAACCACGACAACAACGACAATGACCAAAAAAAACGACGCCATGAACAAGCCTGCATACGCCCGCTGTCAGGTGTTTTCGGATCCCCAATGTTGTTTTCATATGCATTCATACTGTATCTTACCCGACCAATTGCTGTGTTTTTCTCGCCATATGGCAGGCAGAAGAAAAGTCGAGTGGCAACGTCCGTGGCGTTGGCCCCCATCATCTCCGCCAAGCGAGGTCTGACCTCCGAAATCACCTTCTGGTAGCCTGAGATGGAAACACACATCTGACATTTAGAGCGGCGGTCGATCAGTTCTTCACTGCATGAAGATGCATGAACGGTGTACCCCAAATGGCAGGAAATTAGTTCATTGAAAGCACATGACACCAACACAATATATATATATATATAATGGGTAACACTTTAACACAATGATGTTGAATCCTTGCTCAGCAACCCATGCCTTGAGAAGTTGTCCCAATGAGTTCAAATGCTTCCCCTGCTTTCATGGCCCACCTCCTTTCATGGCCCGCCTCAATGCGTCCGTTAGAATCCATGGAAAATACATGCTCGACCAGTTCAGTTACACTACATTACATAGCTTGTGGCCAAACACTTCCAATTTCCAAGTCCTTTTGCCAGACCCGATTTTGCAATGTCGGCAACAAAGAGTTTCACTGCTTCAAAAATCAAGTCAACATGCCCGTTTCAATCCTTTTCCTTCTTGTTGTGTGCAATCATTTGCTCCTTATCTTGTTGCATTCCGAATCTGCGGCAGCTGTCCCGGGGTTCTGTCCCGATAGCCTTGACCTGGTTTCATTTCCTTCCTGTGAGCTTCTTTTTGCTTGCTATCCTTTGCGTGAATTCTCTAGATGCGCTTCCTTCATTTGCTCGGTCTTGCGCTTGCCGACCAAACTCATCATGCAACTGTTCTTTTCAACTTGTGCCTGGACGGTCTTTGTTTAAATTGCTCTGCTTCCATCTGTTCATGCATCAAAACTGATTGCCGCACATTGTCACAAGGTTTTTGGCTGCGCCTAAGAACCAGCTACCTATTATGGAGAAGATATTGATAGATATTGTGTCGGATGCACTGGCATTCCTCTCGCACCATGTTGTTTGTCTTTATTTCTTGCTGACACCTTGCGCCTCAGAGTCGACTTTCCCACCCAGTCAGAGACAAGACACCCCCAGAGGCAAACCAGGCCGTTGGTTGTGCTTCTTGCTCATCAATAAAGCGATTCTGCATTCTGCGAACGGGCTTCGGCGTTGCACCGAAACCACCGTGGTTGAAATTCAAAAAGCCAGGCCTCGATGGCGATGGCGATGGCTCGATGGTCTTGAACGTGTTTGGCAACACTGGAGATTGGAGCCCCACTTGCTCTGACTGGGGGTCTTACATGACCCTTGCTCATAAAGTTCCAATACTGTTCCACTTAATTGTCTAACAAAGGACAAATTCAATTGTGAGTGTAAAACGGAAAACCTGCTCACCTTGGCGAGTGACTGAAACTGGAAGTATGCTTCTCGGATGGTCTTACCAAAGGAAGGCACCTGACAAAAGCAGCAAAGTGGGGTGGTTGATTATTTTCTGATCATGATACCTTTGCCAACCTGCCAGCATAACATCCATTTGTTGGCATGTCATATCAAGTACCATATCGCTTGGGCAGGTGAAAATTGGTACATTCAATGTGAACACATCAGCGCACAACCGTCAAGCCCACCTGCGGATCAGAGCTAACCACCAAGATCTTGATGCACATGATGATGACGATGCGAACTACCACCATGACACTTTGCGAGGACATCTCTCTGCGAACTACCGCCGCAACATGTCCTATAGCACGTGACTCTAGGGTTTAGCATCAACAAAGCTTATGTAAAAACTTGAAATGCCCACTGGCCCACTGCCTCCTGAAAAACAACTGCTGATGTGTCCGTGTCCACTACCTATTCATCTGTGAAACGGGTGTTGTTTCACCTTCGCCAATCTCTTATTGTCTTGAAGCTGGTCAAACGTGACCCACGAGAAGCACATGGATGCATTGACTGGTTAAAATACATTTTGGTGTGGCGTGTGGCATTGTTGGAGTGTGTTCAGGAATGTGTTCGAACATGCCAACATTGATAGATTGCAATTCTGCTGAACTGTGCCCTGCATGAATCACAATGCCAGGAGCCAGGAGCATCAAAGTATATAAACCAATGAAGGATGGTGTGTGTTTCTTCTTCAACAGTTCGCCCCAATCAGAACCTTCTTCTCTCAAACCAAAACCGGTCTTCCAACCACAACACAATGGCTTTCTTGGTTTTGTATAGGAAAAGAATGGACAATAAATTAACACTACTGCTGTATCCCCTGCTAAGTCTTGCCTAAACAGGTCCCTTCTGCCGCAGTTACGACATACCCTTCGATGTCGTGCGCATCATCGGCCATGCAGCTTCGCAAAGGCCCCGACTGGATCAGGCTCGGGTTCCCTGGCTGAGAAGCAGAATCAGGGAGCTATCTGAGCGATCCATTAACAATTTCGGATCATTTGCGTATGCAAACGACGGAACTTGCATGACCTTTTGATACCTTATCATGTTCTCCTATATTCGTTAGAGATGCGGTCCAGCCAAAAGCCTTTAGGGGCACAATCCCATGCACAGTTATACATACATATATATATATACATAGCATTCTGCGAAAGTGCACTGGGAGTCTTTGAAAGGTCATACTCAAGCATTTGCCTTTTTCCAAGGTCCTGGCTATTGTTGACGTTTCAGTGTTGACCAACCAAAACCATACTGTGCACGCCTGACAGATTCATCGTCGAAAGTTGGATTCATGACAGAATGCTATTAAGCCTGCTCTAAGCTCTAATGGTAACAATAGGTAACACTAGTCATATTCTGACTGAGAAGGCTTGTACTACGTGTTGATACCTTTGTAAATTGATCATGTAGTGAGCAGGTACAAATAAGATCAACAATTATCAACAATTGATGAGGATAAGGAATTCTCAACATTCCCACAACCCAGGCAGCAATGATTGGCAAGTTTTCACAATTTGGCTAAGGCGAATTAACCTTGATCCAAAAGGCGCAAACAGGGTGGAGCCGTTGTGGAATCCTCCTGTCGTAATCGTGCACTGATAAAACTTGAGCAGTTTCGCAATCCTGACAGGAGAACTTGTATGACCCATGGAGTAATGGTGTGTAAGTTCGTATGTCAGCAAGCCAATCTCATTGTATGGTTGTAGGAAGGACACCTCCAAGGCCGACACCCAAACCGCCCAAAAGGATAATTCATTTGACGCCTTGTGAGACACCATCAAACCCATCACAAGACCAACAAGACCCCTATCCTTTGACAAAGACATTGCAAGAAAGTAACACCGCTTTGGACCTTAAAGGATTAAGGTTCGTCATCAGCCAAAGATTCTCCTGGCCTTGCTAAAGAGCAGCTTCCAACTTCAGCCATGACGTATCATGACGCAATCACATGAGATAATGAACCATACTGGAACCGCTGTTTCACCATGCCTTCCAACAAGAGGGTCCAGAACAAGGACCATAGAACCACCACATCGTAGTGCATAGCACACAAGAGACCAATGGTTCATCAAGGCAATCATTAGTTTGGACCATTGGTTAAAAATAATATAATTGGCCTTAGAAGGCATTGTGTTCTCTCCGGATTGCCCCATACCACCCCACAGAAGAAGACATTGCCTTCCTTTGGAAATGGGCAACTCTCGTGTCATTATTGGCCAACTCTCCCTTGCCACATCTTGCCACTATGACCATCCTACAACGCGCTGATAAGGCTAGTAGCGGCTACGGCTCAAAAAAATCCAAAAAGAAAAAGGTCCAGGGGTCCACTGCTCCGTCGCATCATTTGGCTCTACTGCCTGTACGACCGCTGCCAATTAGGTGAGGTCGATCGAGTTGGAGTGGTCTGAAAGACCGCTGCTCCAATCCACAAGCGAACAAAGGCTTGATTTGTACTTTTTTGTACAATTTGGTGACAACATCAAACAATCGCGTGGTCCAAGTCTTTTGGAAGTTCACCAAAACTATATACTAGGAGGTTTGACTCCTTACATGAGCAAACTCAGCACACCCCTAGCCTTAGCTGTATGCAAGGAATCAACGTTGCAAGATGCACTAGCTGAAGGACATGGGTCTTAGCCGTCAAGCCCCTGGCCATAAGGTGACTGCCAGGCAGTCTGAAACTTGGTACTTTGTACCTGCAGAAAACGCCTTCTGCGTTAGCCACGGTCAACCCAAAGCACTGTGCAGCCGCGCCATACGAGTAGCATCTAAACAATTCTCACTGTGTTGTTTTTAGAATGGATAAGCTACCGGATTGCTGTTGAACCTTGCGGATTGCTTGTCTGCTCCGGGGACTTGCAGCATCCTCCTGCCCCCTTGCTTGGGTTGACCGAGCCTTGAAAAAAGGTCCATGGTCATTAAACAGCAGCATCTGTCAAGATGTTAAGTGAAACTTCCAACTATACATACGGTATAATATGATTAATTTTAAATGTGTGTAGAGTATATCTAAAGCCAATCGAACAAGCATTATCAAGTAATGGTCCGTGTTGAGTCATGCTGGGTCCGACAAACACGGTGCAGCTTCTTGGGCGCTACTTTGAAGAGAGCCAGGTCGCCACCAAAAAATCGACCCTCCGACCAACACGTTCATCTGAACGGCCAAAATAAGCGGATTCAGATGCTGGTTTTTTTTGCCACGACCTTGAAAAATGCAACAAGCTATTCAAGCTAGCAGCAAAATCCTATGATCCTATGTGCCTGTGTGTCCAGTGTTTCATGGTTGAGGTTTTTGCAAACAAACACTTTAAGATCTTTATCCCCTATCAAAGCATGCATGTTGAATCATACCGCCATGGGTACTGCAACTTGCAATATCACGAACAAAGGTTCTCCTATGCCCATCCAGGAGGCAGTCAGCGCAATTCGTCACTTGGAAAACATGGAACTGTGATGTATACACAAAACCTCAGCCAAATTGGACAGCATTGTGCCAAAACACAACAAACAATACGTCAGATTTGATCGCTGTCTGTGGTTCACCTCAGTTAACCTCACGAACATGCACATGCACACAATCTGCTCTCAAATGTAATTACAAACGACCAGCGTGTACAAACAGCAAGTGTGGGGATGCATCAGTCAAACTAGGCACGCATTTTTGTGCACACTCCATGCTAACTCAAGCAATGGCAACTCCGTGCTATGTTGGATCAACCAAAAACATCAGCGATCACATCTCCATTGTTCTTAGGCATTCAAATCACACGTCATTGCATCGGGCAAATTGAACCTCAGCGGGGCTCGAGGATAATTCTGCAATCTAGGTTCTTTAGAATTTGAGTGTTTTTGTTGCTTTGCTGCTCTAAGGGCTCCAAAACTCAAGACCTTGTATTTGGGCGACAAGTATTAAAGTCTAGGCGGCAGTAGCACACAAGTTTTCTCCCAGTCCGAGTTCGACACAACACCGTGAGCCATCAGAAGCTTCGCCTGGCAAGGTCATGCGATTCGGGCAGGAAATAGTAGCAAAAAGGATACTCTTCAGTGAACAAGAGCTTTCTCACAAATGCGTAGCGAAGGGTTCCTGCTCAAGTCTAGGGAGGTAGAGTTGCGTAAAACCCATGCAAACGACTGTATATCGCCTGATGGTCGCCCTAGGGCCCTAGGGTCCTCGCATTGGGGGAACGTGTTTTGAAGGTCTTGGATGGAAGAATGCCGAAAATAGATGAAAATAATTGAAAATAGTGTGTGAAATGCGCTGAAGGTGACTGTCCCATTGTGATGTACGATTTTGCTGCGCAAGTGCAGCATTTGGTAAGGTCGACAGTCTCAGTCGCCCTGTCATCGGGATTGGTGTGTGTCACGTGGCTTGTTCGAAGCTGTATTTTTGTGACAACTTTCAGTTAAAATTATGACTTTGAGTTATAGTTATATGTGGGTGAAGCCGAAATCATTCCAAGCATTTGGTGTGATGAAAGTTTGCTTGAGACGCAAAGGTGACTGTGGCATGGTCACTTTGTGGCAAGCAAAGTACTTTGATGTATCGGATGTATTTTGTACTTGTACTTTTGGTGTTAGTAGCAAGCTACTAGGTTGGAGGCCATCGCTAGTAGGTTGGAGGCCATTGCTAGTAGTAATAAGAAGCTACTAGCAGCAAGAAGCTAGTAAGTTGGGAGTCGAAGGCGACATTTGGTCCAGGTGCCTGTCACTGTGCCAATAGGATTGGTGTGTCAGCGGGGGAGGCTTGGGCAGCGAAACTGCTTGCCAGGGCTGCGCGATGTGAGTGTGCTCTACCGCCTCACTTTTGGAACATGTCTTTTGGAAGATGCCTTGTATAAAAGCGTGGAGGATGTCTTGTATGAAAGGCTCGTTGGTTGGAGACTTGACGTGGCTGTTGGACGAAGTATTTTAGGAAGCACTCTTGCACGAATCAATTCTGTTGCAGACTTCCCGCTTCACTGTTGAAGGAAGTCGTGCGTGTCTAGCTCAGTAGTGGCCGGTTTGCAGTACAAAAGTAGCACAAGGAGCCCCTTCTGGGAGCTCCGCGCTCCATGTCTCACAAGACTGCCAAGCAAGATTGTCCCACAAGAGTGTCTTGGAAGAGTGTCAAGCAAAAGAATCCCACAAGAGTTTCCCTAAATATTGCTTTGCAGTTGACAACCTCCACTTCTATGCAACTGGAATGCGCTCGCAAGCGCACAAAACGATTTCCAACTACATACAAACAATAAATGTCAAGTCTCAACCCTTGCCTTGACTTGCCATCGAGACAACAGTGTCACACAGTCTTAGATAATTTTACTGTAGATATTAAAATTGTTTTGCAGGTTTGTGGGCGTCGTCAGGTTTTTTTTGGGGGGGGTAAGTTCCGGCCGGGGACCATCAGAGTAGTCTTGTTAAGCTGCGCTATCGTAGATGCAGTACCAACATTCATACAGTCTCCTTGTTCATCCACAAATTGGAGAGTGTATAGCACTGTCCATGTCTTGCCTTTTTGTCATGGAACTGGTATACCTTTTCCTTGGGAGACTGCAAAGCTGGCCCTCTCCCATACCCTGCCTCTGGGCTGGACTGGCCTTACGGTAGCTCCACATCACGTCGAAAGGTTTTTGGGCCAGGTTGAAAATTCGAGAGCTTGACTATACTTTTTTTGGCTTCACAACAAATTGGCAAACAACATAGAAAGAATCAGTCACGTCAACACCCACCCACCCACCCCCACACACTTAGTCACAGGGCTTGCAGTTCGTCATAGTCCACAATGAAGTGGATGAGGGAAACGCAAGGCGATGAAGTCAGCTCACTTGAAGTGTTGAAAAAACACTGTTTGCGCGTGTCCGCAGCAAGCGTCAGCGGAAGGCGGCTGCGGGAAACTGGCTTTGGGAGATAGCATGCAAAACCACCATGAAACAAACCGAGAGTGGAACAGCGTGGTCAAAAGTTGGTCGGAGGTACACACAGTTGATCAGACTGTGCATCCACCGAACAAGCATAGCTTTGTTAGTCAGCGTTTGCTTGTCGGCTGCTGGCCCCCTGCAAGACTGTGGAAAGACATCAAACTCCTAGATATGGAGGGTGGCACACACACACACACTCCTTCAGATTTTTGGAGCCTCATCTCTGCTCTAAAAGCAAAGGGTGCCTGTAATCATCATCGCCAGAAATGAGCCTTTCCAACCTGGCACATATTGACACACAGACTGATGCTCGAAGCCACTTTGCAACTGCTTCAGAAAAGACTGCTTGAGCTGTCACTGGATGAGACCCATGGGACAACAAGAATGGCTATCTTGAAGCCACGTTTAGCTATAGTATGTTATAGTATAGTTCTTAGAGCTCATCCTGCAAACCAATTCGTGGATGCTGGATGCTCTCACCAGGGCTGAAAACGGAATTTTTCCATCTGCCTCTGAAGAGCCGCCTCTGGGGGTAAGCCTCCAGGCCTCGTGGAATAGTCATCCGCAGGATTCAGCGCACAACTGTTTCATAATATTAATGATTGCTAATGTATTTAGGACGCTACTAGGGGCTCCTGGCATCGCTACTAGGAACAAGAAGCCACTAGGGGCTCCTGGCCATACTACTAGGAGCAAGAACGCTACTATTAATGTATCTACTAAGCCAAATTTAACAGCAAACACATGGAAACACGATCATCGTGATTCCGATTATAGAGTGACCTTTACAGGCTATGGCATGGTGTATCCTGAGTTGTTTGTTTTGTGGGTAGGACCCGATTCGGTTTCAGTGCTTAAACGAACAACACCAATCATATCTAATCATGGTGTGCCACAGCCCTCAATGATGAGGGAAAGCAATCACTCAGCCCCATGGCATCATATCTGTTGCCATCAGCATGGATGTATTATTCTTTTGGGGTGCCAACTCCATTGAGGACTCCTAAGAGCGATGGCCTCCAACCTGAGAGACGTTTCGGTCCGACACCGTAGGAGTGTCGGGTGCCCGGGCGCCAGCAACTTTCTGCAGTAGGGGTCACCCTCTGTGTGTCGCTGTCCTGAAGAACAAACCCTGCACGATTTGTCGAGTCCCTTCCAGGTCAGGGTTGCATGGATCACCGTACTTCATCGCTGTCCATTTGCAATGAACATACAGGTAGTATATGGATGTATATGGTAGCATGGCTGGCGCTATTTTTCAGACTCTGCAGAAACCTGGAGTCACCAGCAGCTCCATCCATTGCTCCAAAGATCCCTTTGCATGTGCTGTGAGCTTCCATCCCAGCTAGCAGTTGGATGCGCATCATTTTTAGGCTGGTGTGTACCCAGCAAAGCCCACGGTGGCCAAGCCAGAGGTCCTGTGAAACCTATTCGGTGAAACAGGAACATGGATTGTCGTTAGCGAAAATCCAACGGACAACTTAATTAATCAAATGATAATCTCCGAAAATGCATTCAGGCCGTCTTGAGCTCTCTGGCTGCTTCTCATCTACCTCCTGGGCAAAATATACATAGTCTACATCAGCGGAGTCAAACGTGAAATTTAAGTATATATTAATACTGTATATATGTATATATATATATAAACATTATATTATATAGTTCAACGGAAGAATGTTAAATGATGTTAAATGGTTACTGAGGATCAATATCATCCATCAACACTGGATACGAGAAGAAGGGAAGCACACGCCGTAACGGTATGTAACGGCAAGTCATGAATCATCATTAGCACTTCGCACGGCCACCCTGCATCACTGCCACCGAGGTCTTTGCCCCGAAAGTGAAGAGGTTCTGGAGCCACTGGATCGACTGGAGCTCCAGCCTGAACTTCTTCTCACACCAAAGGGGGTCAATCGGCTAGGCTCTTTCCCCGCTTCGATGGTCTTCATCATCAGGACTTCCTCTCTCAGGTCTTTTGGACCTTCGATTGGCACAGTGTTCGGTGTGTCCGGTGTGATCCCTTCAGGAGCTGCACACTCATCGTTGATCTGGGCATCTGGCTCTCCCAAGTCAAAGGTCACCTGAGGAGTTTGAGGAGCTTCCGAAGCTAACGAAGGAGACTCCAGGGCCTGGGGAGGAGACTCCAGGTTGGTCTCCACCTCCCCAACTTCATCGGCCTCCGTTTCACAGGCTTCCGCATCATGCGCTTGAAAGTCCTTTCCCTGCAAGCTCTGAGTTTGAGCCGCTGGTGCCACTGGCATAGGGCTTTCCAGGCTTCCGGGGAGTTCGGGATTTTCTGGGTAGCCTGCAGTGGCAGCGACTGCTTCTTGCTTGAACTTCTTTGGGATCTTCCAGGAATTTCCAGCGTAGCCAGAATATCGCTCTGCGTACTGGACCAAGCTGTCTTCACTTTGAAATGACAAATCTCGGCCATACAATAGCTTATCGACGACGCAAAGGCTTTTCAAAGCGACCGAAGACCGTTCAGTTGGCTTTGGCTTCGCGGCGCGACCAGCATAGTCACCGAAGAACTCGCCGTCAAAATGGCTGCAGGGATGCTCGGACTCGCCAAGTTGCAAGGAACTCTGAAGACATCGTGCTGCTGCTGTTACACACGATTTCCCCTCAGGTCTTTCGGATTTCTTTCCTGCGGCACTCATATCTTTAATCCGTATTCCACGTGGTGTCCGCTCAACCCTGCTTGATCCCAGTCCATTCATAATGTCACCCATGGACTGTGTGTGTGCAATCCCTGGTGCCCTCAAAGGTTTGAATCGGGCTTCTGTGTTTCGGGCACCGGCACAATCGGCAAATCGAGTCATGAATTCTTCATGTGGACTTTTTTGCCCGTCATGGTGTGCCAGTTGGGAACTGCAATTTAAGACGGCTCGTCTTTTCCTGTTCTCCTGGCAAACACAGGTTGGCAAAGAAATGGACACAACATATCGGAAGATCCTGTGGTCATGTGCTAAGCTGCTAATTCAAGAAACCAAACACACCTCCCCTGGGACGTGAGCAACGAGAAGAAAATATAGAAACACAATGAAACAAATGTCATGTTTTTCACGTTTTTTCGACTCCCTTTTTGCATTCTCCTGCTTTGCATCTTTGTGCCCAGAGGGTTCACCAGCATAGCCTGCAGCATGCATCGTCTGCATAAATCCTCGATGAGGACTTTCACCGGAGCCGTCCAGATCTCTGCCATACAAGAGCGTATCCACCGTGGATTGCTTGGTCAAAGAGACGACTCTTCGGCCCTTGTCCGGTAAACCGATGAGCGCCCGATGTTCTTCCTTGCTCGGCAACGGCATCTGAACGGCCCCAAGCTGTGGCGAAACTGTTGGCCGCGCAAAGAGCCAAACGAGCCACTGGTAAAGCAGAATGCAAATGAATACAACACTGCCATAAGCTATACTGTACGACTCTAAACATCGCTGTGCTTCGGGTGCAATGGGATTTGGAGGGACAACAAGTCACATTGCATACAGTTTTCATATTGCTGCTGCTGCTGCTGCTGCTGCTGATAAACAGGACATAACAGGACAAACAACGTGGCACGAAACGAACAGGTTGTAAAAAAGGGCTTGGTGACAGCAACGTTTCTAGATGTTTCCAGTCCAGTATATATTCCAGTTTTAGAAAGCCGCTTCAGTTTACGGAGAAACGTAGAGAAGTCACCATAGCGATCCACTCCAAGCCGTCGGTGTGCCTCCTAGATAGGCGGGAATCACTTCTTCACCTGGCGTCCGTGGCTTCCCTTCGATCCAACCCTCCAGAACTTCAGAACTAGGAGCAATGTTCGCTACTGGGGGCTCCTGGCCTTACTACTAGGAGCAAGGACGCTACTAGGGGATCCTGGCATCGCTACTAGGAGCATTCTTGCTACTAGGAGCAACATGAATCATGTGACCATTGGATTGGCCCATCGTGGCAGGTCAACGCGCCTATGAACTTTTTCAGCAGTGTCAGCGTCTCTGACTCTGTAGCCATCTGAACCTGCAAACGGTGAGGCCAATGGGGCCTACAGGCTCCTTCTCAAATGAGAAACCGTGCAAGCACGAACTAGCATAAACTACAGTACCTCTTTAAACTAACGACTCCTCCAAATATCTAGGGACGGCCTGTCACCCCCTTCAGTTTCTGGAAGGCTGATTGGGAGCAGTCGTTAGTAGTGGTTGTAGCAGTTGCTGCTGGTTCTACGGGACCAAGCATTCCAGGTCTGAGGCCTCGTCTAACAATATGTTTCAGATTCACATTGCTTCATGCACTTTCCAGGTATTCCTAACAGAATGCTCCGACAGGAACCTTTCTGTTCTTTGGACTCAATCACCGGTCTATCAGAATGTTGGCTCAGGGAAACGAGCATGTGGTTTTCAACTGGGATTCAATGGGCTGGTCACTCCCTACCTGAGAATTTAAGGGTTCCATGGATAAGAACTTCACAGCTCAGCCTTCCACGGGCTCTTTCAATGCAGAAATCGAAACTTTCATGCGGGCAAACACCCACTGCACAAGTACTATCAATCGATTGATGCAAAAGCATTAAACACCCAAGTAAGCAGGGTCATCGAATTTGAGATTCACACAGTGAGAACATGATAGATACACGGATACGCGAAGCTTGCAGGTGAGATGACTTTTACGCGCTTCTACCACCCAGCCCCGAGTACCTTGGCAATGGTGCCAGGATCAAGAAGGTAGCTGAACATAGCCCTGGGCCAGATGGTGCTGGAGCTTCCAAGGACAAGAGCAAGGCAACACATGACAATCTCTCCACCAATCTGTCTGGACACACATCCTGGTTTGACTTTGAAATCCTTGTCTCCTTGTCGCTCATGTGTCATGATAAGTTGTCTGGCGGTTCTTGCTTTGACTTGAGGTCAAGGCCAAGCTTTTGCGAAGGGGGATGGCACCCTGATCAACTCAAGTAAAAGATCGGAGTCACAAAGCATCCACAACGAGCATGCAGCAACTAAGAGCTTTGCAGAAACATCTCCAGAGGAGTGGCGAATGGATCATTGCATGCGGATGAAGCTATTAGATGACTCAGCAGGATGTTGCTCTTTCGCGTGATTAACTATATAACAACTTGGGATCTTGGGTCTGCAAAAAGAAGTAATTATGAGAAACCAATGCATTGGTTCAGAGTGCTCTCAAAATAAGCATTTTGCAGCCCGCCTTATGAAGAGTATTCGATGGCAAGTCTCTGGCAACAGGAAGCTCCTCAAGTCGTGTGCGATTCATGGCAGGTGCCTGACTACTCATCGTATGTCACCACAGAAAATCCCTTGATTCTACAATACATTCCAAGACACCAGAATCTTATATGACATATAAATATAATACCTCTATAAACAAAAAAATAACACTATTAGATGCTGGTAGCGATGGCCTCCAACCATGACAACATACACTAGCTCCAGGAGCCAGTATGCAGTGGGACTGCAATTGAAACATGTCATGTCATGTCATGTCAGCTGAGACCCTTCCATCAAGAAACATAACCATGATGGAATACAATATACTGTAATACAAATACACTCACATATCACGCATGTATAAAAATCATTAAATATCAAAAACAAACATACCGGATCCTGCATGCCACCATCTTTGAGAGTGTCCAGGCCTGAGAGCAAGCATGACGAGGATAGGGAAGGAAAATTATGCCGCAGCTGTTGCATAGAACGTTGTTCCAGAGTGTCAAAATATCGATATCATGCCAAAAACCGTGTACGATTCTTAGAGTATCAGTGCGGATCCGGTACTGGGACTGGGTATCAAAGAGTCTCAATTTCGCTGTTGCCTTTTGAAAACGAGAACTTCGAATTGCGCCGACCGAGTACCGCTGCAAGTACGCTAAGAGCTGGGCGGCGCCAAATTGCGCATCGGACCACTTGAATCCCTTCAAATCAATCACCTCAGTGTTTCAGCACGGTCTTCAGGCTGGGCATGCACAGTTTGACAACTGAACTTCCTCAGCGAACTGGGTTGCCACACCAAAGTGACTCCGGTGAAGGGCACCCCACGTCGGATGGAATCCTGGCACAGGTCTTTGCAAAGTTCATACCGTGTGATTCTGAGGGTCTTAAATTCTGAAACATTGTTGAGCAATCGATCGTCGGCGACTGAAACTCAATTGAAACTGATCATGTTGTAAAAATTTTGGATTGCAGACGGGCACTGAAAACCGTCTTTGCATTTCGTGGTTTCGTCATGCTTCCATCAACATGCATTAGTTAAAAATTGTCACAGGATCTGTCCTCCTCTAGGGCGGCCAAACTTCTCCGGCAATGGACGATATCCAGTTTCCGCAAGACCTGCATGAATAGGGTTTGACAAAAGATGAGGCAGGTTGTAAACATTTCAATACGCGGGGAGGTCTGCAGCGTATGTGGCACAACACAAAAACGGTTTGCAAATTCTTGCACGTCAACGTGATCTTGAAAGGTCTCCAGTCAGACTTGAAAAGGCCATGTTTCAGACCACTCGCATCTACCACTCTGATAGTGCTACCCCCTGACCCAATTCCGAATTAGCAGTGGTATACACTGTAAAATTACTTTACTTCGAGTGATCCTCACCATGGCATTGTACTGTGTTCAACATCACCAAAAAAATGTCCATCTTGCACATGGTAGTCTATTCGGCAATTTTTCTGGCATTCTTTCCATATGGTTCAGGTCCGGCGGTGCCCACTGCGATCTGGCGCTCGCGGTTCAATTCCGTTGGTGTCCATTGCGATGCTGAGCTCGCCGTTCCGGCCCAGTGGTGCTTACTCCATGCAAAACAACGCACTGACCCCTTTTATGCCGAGGCGCGCAACAGAAGGCCTTCACACACTTCATGAATGGGGCGCCGAACAAGGACTTGCAGGTCGAGCAAGCGCGGCCACCCAACCAAGTGTGAGCCAGGAACAAAATCCTCAGTCGAGGGAGCTTTCAATCCTTCCCCTGCGGACCCGGCTAGTTTAACTAGTACATCTCTATACGGACTACATCTACTGCCTAACTCTGCACACCCGCTCTCCGAACATTTTGGTTCCATTGCTCCGATCATCGCTCCCAGGCCAGGCAGCCGGCATGTCAATCCTGCCCAAGTTCATGAACATGATGATCTCATGTTCATGATCAAGCAAACAACTTGGTCCTCCGCATACCTTGTCTTGCAACCTTCAAACTTATAAAGTGCACCGCGCATTCATAAGCACACTGCGCATGCGTCCGCAACTCTGCTACACGCATTGAGCCAAGTAGCCTCAATCGTGACACTTTCATCACGTGGCTCTCGCGCCGCTGGCCCGAAACGTGCCTGGCCACATGCTCGCGCCAATGCTGTCCTCCGAGTAGCGTGCCCAATGTCTGGTGTTGCGTCCTTGAACCAGCAGCAAGTGCACAGTACAATTGCCAGTGCTCAAGTCTACTATAGACTAGTCTGGATGGAACCCCCATGTGAGATGAACGCTAAAAAGGCAAACAAAAGTATACTGGTACGGCGCGCTTCAGCTCCCATCGCTCGGGCGCGGACGACAACCACGAAGACCGTGAAGAAAAGAAAAGGGGGTAAAACAATGGTCGATGAGTCGGCCCTGGGATTCACCGGTGTGATTTCTTGCAGCGGTTGGAATCAAGTGGCCGCGTTTTTGGCAAACATTGGAGGAACTGTCCTGTTACCATACTTACCTAGCAGAATGTCTGATATGTGTTTCCTGCATTTTCTTTGCAATGACCAGGCAAACACCAGCAGTGTGCAAGAGGGGATCCTGTCCATTTCAGGGCGGGGATGGGCGGAGTGGAGCGGATTCAACAAGTTTGGTTGTTGCTAGGATTTGAGGGTCCACTTGTAGGTCTGATTAGAGGAGCTTAAAGACAAGTAAATTACGGTCTTTTAAAGCAAAGTACGTCCATATGAATGAATGGCAAACGAACAAGCTTAACGAGCGCTCTGAGGAAACATCTGGTTCTCACTCACATGAATGACAAACTGCAAGAGTATGATCGCCGTGACAACTAACAGACACCTGAACGCCGCCTGTCCTCAAACCACTTTGATCACAAGAGCTGATCGCAACACACCTCAAAACTGACAGCGTCCAATTGCTGGCTAAAGAAGAGCCATAATCAATCTTTGAACCGCTCGTCATGTCAAACGGACTCTGGGCCCCAAAAGAAGTCGAGAACCCGCAACGATAGTCCAAGTGTCTGGTCTTTCTTCGACTTCGCGCTCTTCCCGCCGCACGAGGCATCGCAAACCACGCAGCTGCGCCCCATTGCAGCAAGAAGTCCACAAGTCACATGCCACAGAGGTGCCAAGCAATCGCTTCCTGCTCAAGGCCATATATGGCACCCTCACAACATTCTGTCTTGACTCCAAGCTTGCTGCAAGCTTGCTGCAAAAGGGACCCTTTTCTGTTTTGAAAGGCTCGAGCATGGAGCCCAATTCCACAAAGGCCTAGCTGGGATCGATCAACGTCATGATCTCCTGAACAGCCGTTCTTGAAGCCTTGGGAAAATGCCCTGAAGGACTCCCAGAAAAGTCATCTTCCAACGGGACCCCGAACTCTACCCCGCGTTGTACGTCAAGCCTATTGTTTAGGGTATATTCGTTCGAGCACTGGACGTCCTGTGGTTGCTTTGCAGCGCTTGGCGCTTGGTCGTGTTCCGGGGACGGGTCTGCTGTCGGGTCTGGTGGTGCCCACTGCACTCTGGAGCTCGCGGCGAAGGAAAAAGGAGGAGGAGACGGCGGAGTTGACAGCTCTGGGCTCTGATAAAAATCTAACAACCCTCACCTGGCAGGCGGGGAAAGATGAACAGGAGGAAAGGGGGATCCAACACCAGTATGGACAATTAAAACCGGACTGCTTACCTACCGTAGTCCAAGTGCCTTCAAGTCCAATTTGTTGCACAACTTCGGCCAGGAGCAACGGCCTAGGAATCGAATCCAAGCAGTTTCTCCTGGACCTGTAGCTTGGTCTAGGAATTATCAAATCAAACGATCGAATCAATGGTCCAAATGCTTGAACCGGGACCCAGTCAGGACGCCGCCTACCATGGCTTACAGTAGTGCAAATCAGCGATGTACTTCCGTTGCTTGGTGTCGAACCTAGTCTTTCAAGGGCCACTGGCTCTCCCTGCCTCGGTGACATATCTTGGGACAACAAGCATAGTCTTGTGGATGAGCTTGGACGAATGTAAAAAGGATCCTTGAACAATCCTGGTGCTAATGAAGCTAGTAGTGTGCGACCGGTATACTTCAGTCGAGGATCTATACTATACTATACAATACTATATGTGAATATATACATTTAGTCAAGTGGGGTGGAACCATTCTGGAAAGCACCCGCTGTGCTGCAGTATTCACCTTCCCCTCGCTCAACTGCTCCCCGTTCTTACCCATTGACTTGCAAGTGCAGAAGCACATGGCACTGTGGATCACTCTGATTTGTTCAAATGCCAACGACCATCAGTAACGATCTCCCAACGACCATCAAGGTGGGTGTTTCAAACCTATTCAACTGTTGTCCTGGACTGTGCAGTGCATGAATGACGCTGAAACATTGATGATGACATTCAGCTTGACAATTGACGCCTCGGACGATTCAGCTTGATCAGGCATGGGCCATGGAGGAGTGAACTCTTCACTCCAACGCGTTCCCGCGGATGGTTTGTGCTGAGCACGTGGCAAGCCATGTCCAAGAAACCCGCCGCTAAGCCACCAGGGTGCCAGGCACCTTGGCCAGATGCTTAACTCTCCAGTCGGTGATCTGAAAAAAGAAACATGGATCATTGAAGGATCTGAAATGATCTGAAAGAAGTACAGTCTGTACAATATTGATTATAGGCTTTTCCTGGATCGGGACAACCGTACAACCCAGAAGCTCGCAGATTCGCTTGGTGATCAAGCAAAGGTAGCCCATGAGAATCATGAGAGCTGAGTACCAGGCTTCTCATAGGCCTGCCGTGACAATGGCATGCTGTGCTGGTCAATGACAAAACTGTATGTTGCAGTTGTCCACACGTGACTGTGTCTTCAAGGAGGAAGTGAATCATGGTCTTTGTCCTTGGGCTCTCAGGAAGTCTTCACGATTCCTGTTTCCCCAAATCCAAAATGAGAAGCTGGTCTGACCAGCAGCATGTCTGTGCGGCCATACTGAGCACGACAAACATGGCCAGCGTGCAACACATCCGAGCCTCAAGGTCCCAAGTGACAAAGGCATTGAGCACGTCATGCTCCTGCAATTTGAAGCTTTAAGATGGTTGTCCCCAATCAAAACAATGCACACAATATGGACTGACTCAAACTACTGTTGTCCGTTTGTTTCGACAGTTCTTCCCCTTGTCATCGCCTCTGTTCGCGGTGAAATTAAATCGCGCGAGTTCCTTGCCTCCATCCACGAGATGGCCTCTCGCAGTTTCTTCTCAGCCTTCTGGACCCTCAACAAACGTCCAGGCTGACGTCGAAGGGATCCGAAGCGATCTGCAAGGGGGCTGGAGGTGAGGCACATGACGTGAAAGATGTGCGTTTTTTTAGGGGGATTGCTAAAGAAACACAGTTTAGAGAGGTTTCAGTCTTTGTGAGTATTAAAGCACGAGTAGCTATCTTCAGTCAAAGCACCTCCCCAAGAAAGTAACATACAGTAGGTGGTGCTGCGGTGCTGTGGACCAAAACTCATTGTCATCAAAGCAGTTGGTACCACCTTGGAGTGGCTATTTCATACACTAAAACTATAACTATGGCTATGGATTTCGACCCTCCACTATGCCCTATCATGTCAAGTCTTCAGAGTGGTACCCTTTGCTGAGCTAGGCCAACGGCTTGCCCTTCTCAGCACGCAGGAAGCGCAAGAGTGTACAACGGTCCACCTTGGTGGCATCTCAGCAGCTGGCGGCATTTCCCAAGGCCATGTTAGCAGCTATCCAAACCTAATAGCTTCTTGCTCCTAGTAGTACGGCCTGGAGCCCCTAGTAGCGTCCTTGCTCCTAGTAGTAAGGCCAGGAGCCCCTAGTAGCGTCCTTGCTCCTAGTAGTAAGGCCAGGAGACCCTAGTAGCGACCTATCTGATAACATGTTTTTTCCTATGCAACACACTTGCTCATTGTCACCACTATAATGACATACTTAATGACATGTCCGCCATGTCCATGTCTGAGCGCTGCAGTCAACATTTCCTGTCACGACGGTGTTTCTGTTGAAGTGCAATCAACCACTCTTCACACTCCTGTCCAACACAGCACGACCCACTACTGAACCAAAAACATTCATAATGATCAAGAAGACCTGATCAAGGCCTGATTGGACTTGCCCACGGAATGAACATCATCGTATCGTATATATTAAGTATTCACGGGGAAACATACACAAATATATATATGAGAATAAAAAACTTTAAGATGCGCATAGACATGAATTTTATTATAGGTCCATGGACTCGATGGCGTCGCTGTTCTCGAAGGTCTTCCACCAACTCCTCGAGCTCTTGGATCTTCACGTCCTAGCGGCAAAAACCCAGGCTGCAACCGAAACAAATCAATCTTGGTGAAACAGTGCTTGGATGTGTTACGGTGGGATTGCAGCGTTTCGAGGTCCAGGAATTTGGTTTTCACAGAACTGTGTAAAGACCCACTTTTGTTCAATTATGTGACGCAGAGTGCTACCATTGATACATATTGATACCTATTGTTTCGATCACGCAGCTGTAGCTAGCCATTCCTGCTCTTGCATCTTTTCACGCATGCACTTCGAGATCTCACCGAAACTGCGCTCTGTTGGCGACTCTTAGAAAAGGTTGTAATGAAAGGCCCGAGCGCCGCAAACCCCGCACAGATTGGGTGCCAGTTCTCCAGGCAATCCCTCTACTGGTCTGGCGCAGTTGCTGCAGCGATCCTGATAAGAAATCGGTTCCCTGGGCTGCAAAGAGGCCAGTAAGTTCCCAAAAGTCCGCAAGACTCCTGAGGTGTGCTGCATCAATGCCTTCTTGTGTCCCTTGCTCTTGACGTACCAGTCAAAAGCATCCTTGCCCGTCTCCCACACGGACAAGTTGATCTCCTTTGCAAGCCCCTGGTCCGAGCCTGGGAACACCATGACAACATTGGCACAAAGCCCTGGAAGCTTTGGCTCGTGGAATTCATGCCATACGTCTACAAGGGTATTCATGGTGTGCTGCATGTCGGGCATGCAGTTCTCCATAATCTGTCCCACATTGCACACAAAGAAGTTGGGTCTCCTCTTGCTCTTGCCACGAGCCTCTGGGGGTACATACTGTGCCGCCAGCCCCATGGCCACCTTCTCTCCAAAGTTTGGGATGGGAACCTCACAGGCATAGACCCGCAAACCCTCTGGAATGAGGGCGGTCACCACATACTGCAAGTTGCAAACGGTGGTCCTCCATACAAAGCCCAGCAAAGACACCCTGGCAGAGTCCCAAAGGGCCTGTGCCCCAATGATGTGCCAATCGAGGCTTTGGAAACGGCCAGCTGTTGCTACTTGGTCCATGCGAACGCGGTTGTGCCTCGCTAAGTCCAACAAATGATGCAGCAACGCCAAAGCCAGCAACCATCGAAAGTTGCCCAAGCCAGTGCTTGTGAAGCTCAGCAAACTCATTAAGAAAGCCACCCATCTGGTGGCAAAACGGGACGAACACTGCAAGGCAACATCCAAGACTGCACAATGCGCCATCATGGAGGCTGCAGCTGCGACTACTAGACTGCCAATTTGTAGAGGTGATACAAAGGCTACATTCCACGACGTGAAGGTCAAGGAGGCCACAGAAATCAATCCTCCATAGAAGCTACATAAAGCCAAGCCTTGACGCACAGCCTGTGGTTGAACTTGCGCCAGCCGTGTGAGGAACACCAGGCAACATGCCATAGCCATCGCCTTGCGCCACGGAAGGTAGAAGCCGATGTTGGCCAAATCCGAAGCCCCGAGGCCCCGGTAATACCAGCTGCCAAGACACAAAAGCACTGGCAGTACTGGCGGAGTCATCGCCGGGGCGAGAATAGTCTCCACTAAAAGCACAGCGACTGCACACAGCTCTAATCCTTGTGGAGCTACCGTGCCTGGCCAAGAACTATGTACGGCTGTCAGCAAAGTCCAGTGATGCAATATCACCAGCAAGGCAATGGCATGAGCTTGCCATCCACCGGACGCCTTGCAAGCCCCCAACTTCTGCCGCATCGGAAGGAGAACTGAGAAAATGCCAAGCAATGTGGAAAGGACAGAGCTTGGCAGTAGCAGTTCCTCATAAGTGCCTTCCTTCAACAGGCCAGTCTCAATTGCTTGAGACATGAAGGTTGTCATCCCCAGCAAAAGCAAAACCAAGCTGAAGACCAAAGCCATGACCAACTTTTGCATCCGGCGTTCCTCTTCTTGGTGCTCGAAGATCCGATACTCCGTTGGTGGAAGTCGCAAGGGGCCAACTTGGTATCGACACATGGAGGATAGGCTCAGCTGCTTTGTCGCTGCTGGACACGCTCTTGCGAAGTCCGCCGTGGCATCTCGACCTGCACAGTTTCGCAAGACCTCCATGCCACCAGGATGCTGAAAAAAGGTGAAGTCGTAGACCACACCATCAATGGCCAACCAAAGGCCATCCTTGGAACCTAACTCCGCTGCATCCACTTCACGCAAAATCGCTGCCTCCGGATTCACTGCAGTGATATCATCCTGCATTCCCTCCATCCTCTCCAAGTCTTCTTCCTCCTCCAACTCAGGCAGAACAGCAGCAGCTGCATCTGCGCGACTCCATGCATCCAGCACAGTCAGAAAGGCATAATTTAGCACCCCGAAGAATATGGCCATGCCGTGCAAAAGGCAAGTCTCTGCCAAGTCTAATCTAGCCAAGTGCTCCTGCCACCAGGCTAAAGAGTAGACATAAAGTACAAAGGAGCCACCTCGGGATGTGAGAAAAAGCATGTACACATAGCGCCAGTGGTTCGTCACGACCGCACGCTCTCCCCACTTGCGCTGTCCAGCGCACAGCAGTCTCAAAATCTCTCTGCGATTCAAAAGCAGCACAGGGAGCTCAAAAAGGAGACCCAGAGTTCCAATAGCAGAGACATGCTGGCAATGCAACAAGGCAATGTAGCCCAAAGCTGCCATGGAGTGGTGCAAAGTGAATGCTTTCAACAGAAGCCCTGCTGGATCACGGACGCCTGGCAGTGCCTTGCTGTCGAGACCACCACTGAGGAAGCTTCGACATTGCAAATCCTCCCATAGGCTTATTAGCCAGTGACCCACAGCCATGCTAAAAAGCATCTCATGCTCCCAGGTGAAGTCGAAGAGCAAGTCCTCTGGCTGTTGCCAACGAAGCATGAGCTTTGCTGCTCCTGCCAAGCTGAGTAAGCAGTAGACTTGCCCACGACAAAGCCTCCGCAGGTATGCACCGCACTCTCGGGGGACTTTCTCACTCACAAAACGCTGAATCGCTATGGCAGGCATCTGTGCGAGCCAATGTGCAAGGAGCCATGCCACTGTCCAGGCGAAGCACGTGACCCAATGGTTTTGGAGAGACGATCTGTCATGCGTCATTGAGTCAATCACCTTGACGATCCCGATCAGCTCCTCAGTTGGACAAACAGTCTAACCTTAAAGGCCCGAAATCTTTGAAGTAGCACCAGGTTACCACGAAAAATGTCCTCGTTATTTTGTTCATACAATAAGATTTTACTTCCTTGTTGTACCTGCCGGGCAATATCTGTCCATATCTGACCCTTGCACCTATGACTGCATCCAAATACCCTACGTCCATGTTCCACATCCCAGCAGTCTCCCAGCAAATCTTCTTATGCCGGGCATCCGTCGCAGCTGATGAAGTGGATGACGTGAGCCAAGACCCTGGCTGATGCGCTCACGCTGGCTGTGCACTGCTAGGCCTCGGAGTGTGTTTGCCGATTTGGTGCCAAAGAGAAGATCGTGGCAGATTGGAACCCGTCGTTGTTTTTCTCTGTGGTTAAAATCCAGTCGTGTGCAGCCCACATTTAAGATATTTTAGGAGTATAAATGCTCTTGGACCTTCTTTGATGCTCTGAAAAAGGTGCGCACCCTCTTAGTTCCAGGCCCTGAGGTCCTCAGCCATCGGACTTCGCCAGGCTGAGCACTTGAGCCAAATCACCCGATAGGGCCGATAGGGTTAGTTGTGAAGGAACTTCCAAGTACACACAAGTTCCACATCGTTTTGGTCGTTCATTCATTTTTCTCGCATCTGCGTCTGACTTTCATGGCATTATATATGTCGCGAGTCTCACTTCTGGCTCGCCCTACCTCACCCTGCCGCAATTCGGGAAGCTGCAGCTGGTCCGCGTCCTGGAGCAAAGGCGGGTTCCAAAAAGTCTCAACCAGGACCTGGCTCCAAGAGAGAAAAATAGACCGTGCAGCTCTGGGGAACAAGAAGAAGTGAACCTTCAACTGAGTGTCCAAGCTCTTATCGACATTGCGAAATTGAAGGGCATTTAGGCTACGAGGATCTACCAGGCGTAGGCAGCGAGTCTCACCATGTGGGCTGATGTCTCCTTGGATGTATCAATCCATGCAACATCATCCAACACCCACACAACAGGTGCTAGAAGCAATATTTGGCGGGATGATCTCCTCCAGGCTCAAGGGCTCTGGCGGTTCTGCTTCATCAAACGGTTCTGGCCTTGGACATCAAGTGCCAAAAAGTCATGCAACCAATGGACTGATTGGACATGTTATATAGCGCTCTAGCCTGAAGTCTCTGTCTCTCCCTCTTCTATCCCCCTGCCTCTCTCCCTCTACCTCCGTCCACCTTGCGACTGCATGGCGAATCATCCCTGCTACTAGTACGATGGACCATTATACCGAATTATACCCGTAGGAATTTGGCACATTGTCAAATTACAGTGTATAGCGGGCTGTCCCATTCATATTGTTGCACATGGCCTCAAGCCAGTGTACTTGTACTTGCCGTAGTCGAACTTCCAGCACCTAAGCTCAAATGTGTGCATGGTGGTCCCCCCCAAAAGAGTCCCCTTATACATGTCTGACAAGCACAGTCGTTGTCCCTTGCTGTCAAACGGCCTGAACTGGACGCTGTGCTTTGCCATTGGTCCTAACACCGTCCACTAGGCGGCCAACGTCTGAGCATCGTCTACGACGTCGGTTTCCGAGAAGGCTCGTTGGAACCTGGCCTGGCAAGTGCTCAAAAGGGGTGCTGGCCACTAGAATATTGAAACGCAAAAACAGGGAATATTGAGCATCGAAGAAATCTATGTTCACACATGTTCACAACATTGCACCGCATGACTCATGACCAAACAGCTGAGGGCCATCCCTTGCTGGGTCCCCTGCTGTCTTAGGCCAGTTCATCGGCTCTTCTTCATGAACCTGCGACGAGAACTCAAAGCGTGCAGGTCTAGGGACATGACATGGGTCAGGATACAAAAGCACACAGCTTTCATTCCAGGACGTTCTTCAATGCACCAAATGTGTATTGCAGGCAAAAGTACTTTCATTGCATTGCAGCTATATTCAGCCCAGTGGTCAAGCACTACTGAGCCTCTGTAAACAATATTGGCAAACTTCCCAGTTAAGCTAAGAATGTTGATTGCGCCCGGCAAAGGGAAGAAGCAATTACAACTATAACTACTACCACGGACTGACACTTAGAATTCAACATACAGTGTATAAAAATATGTATATGTTTTTATCATAGTATATAATATATTGTTTGGCAGTTAGAGCTTCAAACATTAAAATACGTAATTTGAGTGACATTTAGAATATCGTTGTGGCTTTGATGTTGTGACGTTGTGTTGGAGTGTTGGTGAGGATATGGCTACCAAATTTGCAACCAATAACAGCAGAATGGATGTGCAACCTTGCTTTTTGCTGTCCTGGCTTGTGTGTTCTGTCTAATTGTGCTTGTTGTTTGATCGCCACAGTGGCTGTTTTCTTGTGGGTTTCCCTCTGCTTTGAGTTTACCGTCCCTTTTGGAGTGGTTGTTGTATGAATAAGCTACGTACAAAACATTACAAACTATATAATTACAAACAATATGATCAAATGAATCAAATGTATGGAAGCTCTTGGGGCCGCTGTACTGTAAATACATGGCCCGACAACTTTTGCAGGTGATTGGAGCACAGCGGCTAATCACCATTGAAGTTCACCGTAGTTGTATACTCCCATTTGAATTGATGGTTGCGCGTCGGCGTGTTTATTCACTTTGTTTTATTGTGTCCTGTAAATATGGTTTTTGTGGTCGGAAGGTATACATCCTATTTATTAATAAGATATCTGCGCGTAAACAGAGTTGTTACGATCCTCATCTAATTTAGATACAAAGATTGATTCTAAATTATATTCTGTCACTGACTGTACCACGTTGTGACTCATGACTTTTACGACCGGTGAGCGTGGACAAGATCAAACAAGCCTTTCGGCGCCGGCAGCCAGAGGACTGCTTCAGCAGACCTGCACCGGCACCTGCGTTTCAACATGCCCGGTGAGGGTCCCAAACCGCTCTCTTCCTCCAATGCCGAGGAGAGCTGAACATCTGAACACCATCCACTTTGACGTTATCTTCCCGAACATCTTTGTGATCCAGCATCCGTGATAGTTATTTGATTTACTGTATATATCTGTCTGGCTTGTCCAAAACCCATGAGCCACGAATGTGTTCTTCTGAGGTGTGAAACTTAATATTCGAAATGGGGGCCGCACTCTGTTCCCAAGCCAAGGAAGTTTCAGCAAAAAACATATTCTCCTTTTCTTAAATCTTTGCCAAGCAAGTTCGAGTAAAATCAATGCAATTGCTCATGCAAATTTATAAGCAAACATTTCTGAGGCCCTGCTGGAGCCTGCCAAAAGCAGAAGCGTGGCGACTACGGTCACATCTTGAGCGGCCTTGAAGCACTCCAGTAAAAAAGAAATCTTGAAGCACTCCTTGAAGCCTCTGTGAAAGTGGGAAGAAGTGAGTTTGGTTTAGCGCAGCAAGGTCAGTCCTCTCCATGCTCTGTGCTAGCGCTGGCCAGCAGCGAAAGCATGTCCTCATGCCAGGATAATGAATGGCTCTCAACAGCTAGGAGAACAGTGGAATTGGTTGGGAACTTGGAGCCACTTATCGGCTACGATTAAACAAGTAGGGCATTGGCAGGTAAATCTGGAGACAATGCGAATACATGAATTTTGGTGTAAGTAATTACGATAGAGACGGGCCACATAAGAAGCTACTAGGAGCAAAGGGCATCGCTACTAGGAGCAAGGACACTACTAGGGCCACAAAGGAAGCCGATCAATTGGCCCGTCAACATTGAAAAGTGGTTACACGATGAGAAGCAAAATTTCAACCTGTGACAAATCTGAGGCTAGCACACTCGCTCGGCAGAAGGGTATTGGCTATGAAGCAAGTGTCAGTTGTCTTTAACAACCTCCAACACTCATGAAGGTTGATCTGACAGAATCTGTCATTGGTCAGAATCAGTACGGAGAAACAAGACTATCTTGAACTTTTGCTGTCCTGCGTCCAGGCAAAGTTACCGCTTCTGGTGATGACTGCATGACTGGGAATCCAAGAGTTTTGGCGGTACGTGGGCTGATTGCTGGATTCTGTCAGATGCATGAAACTTCTGCATTCTCTTGCTTCCTCTTCAAATCGTTTGCTGGGCTGTGCGATCACGTGAAGGTTGTACGGCGGGATCCACGAGAAAATCATCACAATGAGGTGCAAGGTTCACGGGTCTTTCGTCACCGCATGTGCTTATGGTGCAAAATGCTGAGCACAAGATAACACAAGTTGGAACCATCATATGGAATCATCGTCAGCGAAAAGCTGGGCAAAACTGATGTTGAGAACTCTTGGCAGTTCCGAAAAGAAACTGCGTAGAAAACAAAAAGAGCACCTTATCCAACAGTTTGACAAGTTATCGTAAACACATGACAGGACGCAGCACAACCAGCATGCCAGAGTGGCAAGGAACCAGTAAAGCATGAATGAGTCAAACCTCTAAAAGGAAACATCGCAAACATCTGACCAATGCCATAACTTGTATAATGCGGATGACTGTCACGGCCGAACAAAGCATTGTGCTGTCCAACGCAAGCAGTACATCTTGCAGCGCAATATTTACTGTAGATATATTTAGGGGGCATCAAGCATTGTGGGACAACAAATACAGAAGTACGGTACCTTGTCGTCCGGTGTCATCCAGTTGCCCTTGGCACTTGATCCTTAAATCCATGCCGTGCCCAACTGCAACGGACGCTCTTCATCCGTGCCGGTGTCGTGCGCATTATTGAGTCCCACTGTCTCACCAAAGGATATGAATGGCCTCCAATGGCCTCCAACCTAAGAGCAATTTAGTTGTCCTCTCTGGACTTGAAAGCTTGCGCTGAGACATTCTTTGGTGCAGCGGTTCATTTACCAAAGACTGCTGAGCCCTGGAAGTACTCCATATCCATATGTGTATATTTACATATATTAAATACGAGACTTGAGATCATCCAATACTGCTAGCGATAACTCGGCCTTAAATGCCCAACAAAAACTCGTTTGATACAATTAGTGTAGT